AAAAACCAAACAGTAAAAGAGGTTCCAATGAAAAAGGTACCCATTCTATTCCTGGCTAACAACATGTTGTTAACCAGGAATACAATGGATACCTTTTCAAATGGAACCTCTTTTACTTTCAGTAATAGAGGTTCCATTTGAAAATACTTCTTCAAATGGAAGCTCTATTACTTTCAGCAATAAACACAATGTTCCTGCAGACTAGCAAATATTAATTCAGCAGTAGAGATACAGGTACAGTGAAAAACTGATCCATATACAGCACAATAGCTTCAGCCAATGAGGAATTAAAGTGAACATTTGAAAATCATCATATTTCCCAGAACCATCCAATGAGTCACTTCTAGTAGGAAGGAATCTGCAATAGTAGAGGCGAACTGAAGTGATGGATGAGTTGAAGAGCTATTAAGGAATCTGATGTGTTTAGAAATTTGAACACTTACTTGAAGTAGTGGAAGGAAGCTTATAGATATTGAGTGAACCAGAAATACACAACTCCCTAGATTCTGTAGCTACTCTAAAAGTGATCATGTAGCAGGAGCTATTAAGTGGAACAGATTAAGTTCTAGAAAATACTCAGGACCAAATAATTTGTGTAATGACTACCCTAATAGAACCAGGACAGAAAAATTAAATGACAGCAAATATTGATAATCAGAGGGGCCAGATCCTTTGAGAATAATCAACAAACATATACAAATACACACATCCTCGCCAAGGAGCTTCCTGCATGTCTCATCCCAAAGCTAGAATGCTCCTGCTTCATACTTAGCTAATGTAAATCACTTCTCAGAATTCTGCTGGACATGCTATTGCCCCATCCTTCTTCTCTCTGGGTGGCCACTATTCCCTTTGCTAACCATGGTATCCTTTCCTCAGGGCTTAAAAAAACCTCCAGATTGAGAAGCAGAGGCCCACAGGTTTTCGCTGGCTCCCAAATGTGGCACAGCATGGTACAAAGAAAAGTGTGTGCATGCATGTATTAGTATATGTTGCTGTGTAAGAGAAAGGCAACCAAATGTAGGTTTAAGGGAATGCAGATTCTTTTTCACTCTTTTTCCCATCTGAGAGAAAAGGGATTGAAGATGAGAAGTGGGTCATCTCAGAAATACTGTCTCGAGACACTCTGTTTTCAAAAATGTGCAGGATCCAATCTGGGTCAGTCACCGGTCTCCCAAACTTTCGGACAACTTCTGCTAGCAGAATGTGTTGTCAAAAATATGCATACAGCTTCTCCCAAAGCTTTTCTCTTTAAAAATGTACTGGGCACCTTCATCAGCAATAGTCCTATATCACTAAGATAGTCAGTCAGACTATTCCTATTTGTATCTGATCCATCCGATTGCCTGAAACAGGACATCTCGTTCTGTTACTATGGGGCAAAGCTGACCATGTTAGAGTAAACATATCTTTCCATTGCAGAATATGGGTTGGGGAGGCGGGGTGTGTATGTGTGTGAAATGACACAAGTTCTTACTGGATGATGCCATTCTGACCTCTGCTGGTGAGGAAATGTTACTGCATTATAATTCTAAATGGGGCAGATGTACTGTAGGATTTCTCGACGGTGGTTAAGAGAAAAATATCCTTCCTTCCTGTCTTGATCAAGTACCAAAAATGTCATTCCGCTACCTAGTGCTTCATATATTAACATTATTTTCATATTGTTTCATCATTTTTATGATGTTTCTCCTTTGAATTCTTTTTACCATGGATGGTAAGAGCCAAGCAATGTTTGTACTTCAAGCCCCATAGAAAGATCGCTAAGAACAATCCTGGTCTTCTTCTTTCTCCTTTCCCTCACAGCTTTAAATTTGTATGATCTACCGACAGTTTAATTTGGGAAGATATTCTCAAAGAATGACTTATTGAAGGTTTAAACTAGAGGGAATATGTTCCCAGAGCAAAGGCAGGTCCCTACATATCCCTGTATGTTTTATAGGATACTTGGAAAAGAGATCCTTAAAGATGAAACAGCTGACAATCTTGTGCAAGTGAGAAAATTTTAGACTACATAAAAAGTCCCAAAGGACCGAAAGCTATCTCCATGCCATGGAAATGCGAATGCTCCGTTGGATAGTGGGCATCTAGCTTCCTGACCACATCACAAATGACACCATTTGACAACATTTTGGTGTGGCACCAACTTTAGAGAAGATGAGAGCAGGCCGGCTCCGCTGGTATGGACATGTCCGCTGGTATGGACAACCTTCCACTGTTGCCAAGACTACCTACCAACTAGAAGTCAATGGCCGGTGACCTCGCAAGCGCCCAAAACAGAGATGGGAAGACACCATCCACAAAGATATGCAAGCTGCGGGCCTGAGCCCTGGAGATGCAGCTGACCATGCAAAGTGGCATTCAATGATCCGAAAAGCAGACCCTGCACTTGTGGGAATACGCTAGGAAGAAGAAGATAAAAAGTCCCAAAGGTGCTTTTTTTCAAAAAGTCAATTAGACTTTTTTTTTTAAAAATGTTTTGCTTCTTGGATGAGAAGTGAAACTTTTTCAAAGGGGGAGGGGGGAAACCCAGGAAAGAGCAGTTGCCTTTTGGGGAAAAGGCACCTTTGGGACAACCATGACCTGGATGATTGAAAATCTCCATAGACATTGTGTAAAAAAAAAGATACACCCACTTCTTCTACTTGCTCGTGGCCACAACGGAGCAGGAGGCTGAGTGACACACCAGTGCCATGGCCACAAGGCGAGGTGGGGGGCAGAACTGCCCCACACGCCTTGTACCAGCTTACCTCACGGCCCCCGCAGCCAGGCCATCCACGCCCCAACACCTGCCTCGCTTCGTAGCCGCAGCACCAACACACCACTCAGCCTCTTGCTCTGTTGTGGCAGTGAGCAAGCAGAAGTGGGCCGGTGGTCATGTGGGCTCCTGCTGCATTCACATATCCCAAGCCAAAATATGATTTTACAACAGATGTGTTCAGTTTTGAGAAGGATGTTTAAAATGTTTTGAACAAACAGCATAATGGGCTAAAATGTTTGTGTTTATACCTATTCCACCTTTTTTAAAACCAAGTCATAATGAGAATTTTAGTTAGAAAAGTCTTGAGCAACACCAGTATAATTGTACTTAAGTTCTTTCTCTGCTGGTGAAATAATGAAGGATAAAAATACTTTAATATAATCAGGAAGCTACTTCATTGCTACATCTGTATCTCACCTTATTTTAAGCTTTATATCACATATTGCCTTTTTGCTCCTACATGTATATAACATAGATGATTGGAGAAAAATTATATAACTTTGTGGCTGGAACAGAGAAGCAACTTTACTCATCAGAATACAGAGCATAGATAAATTAAGGGGATACATCTACAACCAAATGATTAAAAAAAAATACCTGGAGCTCCCTAGATTATGCTGCTAAAATTTGCCAACAATTCAAATTACTTACATATTACAAACAAATTATTGCCAATTTCAGAACAATCCAAAACTAAACACCCTTCATTCTTCCACATTGCTGCTACTGCTATTTTATACAGACCTTAAAATAGAGAGTCTTGAGTTTTCTTGACAACAATACCAACAATGGTTTGCCGCTGTATCCTTCTGGAATATTTTTCTAACTTCCCAAACTTGCTTATTACCCAACAATTTCCATATGGTTTACCTACTAAAGATTAACTAGGTTGGCTTAAATTCTTAAGATCAGCCAAGGAAATGATCAGTTTTGCTCTTAAAAATATTACATAGCTAATTTAATTTTTTTTGTCAATTTTCTCATAAGCAAAACTTATGATCAGTTAAGTTTATTTTCCTAATTTCCAACCAGTGATCCGAAGGATCAACTCTGAAAAGAAGAGCCCAGCCATCACAATGTTTCTGGCAATGTAGTTCATCTAGACAAAACCGTAACTTTAATAAATAATGCCAATCAGAAAATATGTGTACTGCCAATTTGCTTTTTTCTGACTTATTTTTTTCACCTGAGACAGTTTAGAGCTAATAGGTTAAATCCAGTTTCATACTGCTTTCTATATAAAATTATCTCAAGGCAGTTTAAATTAAAGATGCACAATAACATATTGCATTAGAAATATATTAGAGGAGAAACTGGGGATCTTGAGAGTTAAAAAAATTAAATATTTAGGAATATGGCTATCGGTAAAGTGTACCACTATTAAAAAAGACAACTATGATACACTCTTACAACAAATTCAAAAAGATTTGGAAAACTGGTCTAAATTACAAATATCATTAATTGGCAGAATCTCAACTATAAAGATGAATATAATACCCAAACTATTATATCTTTTCCAAACTGTACCGATTAAATTAGAGAAATTTTTTTCCGAGCAATTAAATAAAATCACATCGAAATTCATTTGGTCAGGTAAAAAAACCACACATCAAATTTAAATTATAGCAAGATAGTAGAAATAGGGGTGGCTTTGGTCTCTCAAATTGGGAGCTCTACTATCAGGCTGCAGCCTTAACATGGCTCCAGAGATTGGATCCAGTTACAAAACAAATGCATACTATTGATAGAAGGCAATGACCTTCAGATAGGCTGGCATAGTTTTCTCTGGGATGGGCAAAATAAATATCATACATATTTTCAAAGACATATATTAAGAAATGCTCTCCTACAAGTCTGGGAAAAAAATAAAAAAGAACTACCATAGAAAAGTCCCAATTTGGTTATCCACAATGGAAGCAATACTATACCCAAATACCACAGATTTGAGCAAAATGGTAAGATGCACAGAACTACTTGACGAAAAAGGAGAATTAAAATCATTTCAAGACTTGAAAAAGCAAGGATTAAATTTGGAATGGTGGCCTTACTTACAAATTAAAACTAGATTTTAAAAAGATCAGGATGGCATATATAAGGAACACTTGGACATAGACAAAGTATTATTAGGACCTGGAAAAAAATGATTACAAAAAAAACAAAAGAAAAGATAAGAAATATAGCTGCATATTTTCACTTCTCAACAACCAGCAGAATAGCAGCATTATTAATATATACATACCAAAAGCCTTTCGTGGTTCAGTCAGCTTCAGAGTAAAAGTGCGACCTTTGGGCAAATCCTTGAGCATTTTTGCAACCTCATAATGCCGGCAGCCAATAAGACTTTGACCATTGATGGACTCAATCATATCTCCAACATTAATAATTTGGATTCTGTCAATAACACTCCCTTCCTTGATTCTCTGCCAAAAGAAGTGAACAATCACTATGCAAACACAAACCAAATAAATTCTTGATGCTAGATAATTTGAAAAAATTAGAATGCAATGCAACCAAAAAAATAAAACAAACTAAATGAAAGTAGGATTCCCAACAATCCTGGTTCCCCAAACCAGAGACATAGACATACTCCTAGTTGAGTGACAAACAGAGCAGTTCACTTAATCAGAACTACTGTAATGGCAGAGGTACTCTTCTCTTGAATACCTGTCTTCCTCTGGGTTATTTTTTGGTAAATACTTTGCCAAGACCCTAGTTATGGAGCCTTTTGCTTTATACACAATCTGGCATTTCTTTGAATTGCACAGAGATTGCTCTATATCAGGCCTTCAAGTTGCTAAATATATTTCGGAAGAAATAAATCAAGCTCAACAGTAAAAGTGTTAACCTTGCAGTCCAACAACTCTCTGTTTTACCCTAGGATGTATGACAATCTACAGTAATGGTTATGCATTACTCTAATCCAGGGCTGGACCTGCAACTTCTACTTGAGAAACATGATTCATAATTACACTTATAATTGACTCATAGGGGAGATGAGCAGTGGCCCAACCAGTCTGCTTTACTCATTTCTTCTAAAAAAAAACCCAGAATAATTCACACCTTGAAAGAAGGCTGTGCTACTAATATTATGCCCTTAGACAGAGTCTTGGGGAAAAAAAACAGATCTGATGAATGAGATGAATGTATATTAATCCCAAGGAGTATATGGTTATCAGATCTGCTAAAGCTATGTTTTTCTTGCTATCCGGTAAAGCAGGATAGTATCATTCCTCTTCCCTGAGACTACAAACTAGAAGTGAATGAGAAGACTGTCCATATTCTGTTTATATACTGATACATGCAGTAACTATATAATTTACTGCATGTATCAGTATATCACAATATATTTTTGTGGATTAACCATATAAAGTCAATGAAAATAATTCCTATTATTAGAAGATCATTAGGAAGTAGTGTTACCTGAAAAGAAGTAGAAAAAGGAGAGAAAGACTAAATCCAGACACAATAGAGCTTCATTGTAGCTGATGCAAAACAAATAGGAAATATTAGCTTAAAGGGATTCTGAAACCTGTTTGGTCAGAGCTGGTTTTGGTAAGAGTCAAATCTAGAAGTACTTATTTTAAGAAGTAAAACTGCAAAAACTGATACTTAATAGAAACAGTGGTTCTGGGTCATTTTGAAAAGGATTGGATCGTTCCCCTTAGAGCACAGAATTACAATACGTAATCACTTTCTGTAGGATCAAAATACTGAAAAATACACAGCGGAGTGCAGCAATTGTTTATGAATTTTATAGGAGGTACCACAATAACTTTGACTGTGAAGACCTTCCTTTTCTGTCCAAAGATAGCAGGTTGGTTTCCTTGCTACTAACTTCTTATTACTGTATTAAAGATTATGTTAAACTGAGGAAAAATTAATAGCTCTGTTTAATATTAAACACAGCCCATAATTTATTTTTTAGCATAAACTAGAATAGCTAAGGCCTGTGTCCAACCTAACATGAAATCCATTGTTAAGGTTCTATATAGGATATAATGGGGGTTGACCTCCTTGTATTTTTGTATGGCAAAAAGGAAATTATGTTCAGAATGTGCATTACAAAATTGTGCTCTTGCATGTGCCCCCTCAAAAGAAAAGAAAATCAGCAAGGCTCCAAACAGAATTAAGGCTGTAGCAAACAAACTTCCTTGAAGGCATGTCATAGCCGTAAGACAGCTATTCAGGAAATGGGGGATCTTTGTTCTAGCAAAAGCTGCATACTCTCAAAGGCCATCTGCCAGGAACTTCATGCTGATGGTGGGCACGATCAGAATCCAAAATGGATATGGAGTCATCCCTTTCCTTTCTCTTATCTGTAGTGGAAACATCCCCCTCCCTCCATGGTGGAGAAAACTATTGTTCCTGCAAAATGTTTACACTGACTGATTTTCACAGGGCTAATATCACCTACTTCCAATATAGGAACATGTATGCAGAATCTGACAATCACACCAAATCACAGGAAATATTTTTTTTCTCTGAGAATGGGAAAAGATAAATTTATTCTTCATAGTTGTTTTGATTTTCATAATAAAAATGTAATAAGAGAAGAGAAGGGCAAAAAGGATTAATGGTGTCTAGCCTTGGATCCCACTGGGTCATTCATCTTAATTATCACAACCCTATAAGTAACTTTTATAGCCTGAGCATCCTGTGAGCCTGCATAACAGATATATCTACAGTTATCTTCTGGTGTCTATCAAAATTGTAGATAATCCTTTCTTTTAAAAAAGAATACTTGTTGCTCTCACAGTTATGCTCATAAGGTTAAATATTTGACTCAGTTTTCAATGCCAAACAAACCATGTTTTGGAAATCTAATCTTCAATCTATTTTCTCCATAAATAGAATAAAAATCCATCTTACTTTATAAATCTATTACACCATGCAAAGTACAGGGAGGCCAATTCCCATTATATCCTATGTTTCATATTTTTTTCCTTAAACTAATCAAACCCACACTTTTCAGCCCAGTATTTCACAAATTGATAGCATTTAGGAACTGCTATTTGGAATTCTGGAATGAAGAACACAAATATTCCAAAGGCCACAAGATTGAAAAAGCTGCTTTAAAACTTTTAAAATCCACTTATCTCTGTTTAGCATTGTAAAAAAATAGGAGCTGATAATTTCACATGCCTTCAGCAAATACATCATCTATGAAAGGCCTTGTTATGAAATCATTTCTGATTCACTTTGGGAAAAAAAAACATATTCTTGGAAAGATGAAAAAGAAGGGAAAAAAAAGATAAGATTGGATTTCTAGGTGCCACCAAAATATCAGCATTTGAAGCAGTGGTGAAATGCTACCGGTTCGCACCGGTTTAGGTGAACTGGTAGTGATAAAAACTACCAGTTCGGGTGAACGGGTAGTAAAAAAAGCTACTGGTTCCTCTGAACCAGTATTTCCGACGATCAGCTGTGCCGCGTGATTTAAAATCGCTAGAAAGCAGGAAATCCTGCTTTCGAGTGAATCTAAATAGCGCAGCACAGCTGTTTCCCCCTTCGCTGTTCTACTTACCTTCCCAAGCCTTTTTCTGTGCGAAGCGCGCATTTGGCACATACTGTGCATGTGTGCACGTGCAGCATGCATTTGGTGTGCACTGCGCACGTATTTGGTGCACGCCACGCATGTGCGGCTAGTGAACCAGTGGCAAACTGGTTCAGATTTCACCACTGATTTGAAGACCTTTGTTTTTCAGAGCTGATAGTTTCTGTAGGACAGAGCAAAAAAACAAAAACAAACCCAGAATCCTACCATCCCAAACAGCAAAGCAATAATGCAGCAGGAGACTATATGTGATCATTCAAAGATACCTTGATAAAAGCATAGCCAGCACCATTGTCTGTGATAGTCAGGCCCAGGGCCTCCTCAGATTTGAACACTTCAACTTCTTTCCTCTGGCCCTTTGTGTGGGCAAAGATAAAGTCTTCCAGGCCAATCTGACCACCCAATAATTTGTCCATGTCCACTTTGTGGGTATTTAAAGTGCAGAACATCACCTAGAAAGATATTAAGGAAGTACAATAAAAATCTGATATAGTTTGAGATAATGCGGATGCAGGAGATAGTTGTTCCCTCAATTCCAGCAATACAGGGCCAGGAGACCTTTGATCACCAACAATCATCTAGATTCCAAGATGTGTATCTAGATACAAGCAGATATATGAACACCTCAGTTCACCCAAAATATTTCCCCACAGATCTGGTCTTATCTAAAACCTACCACACATGCAATGAGCCTACAGTAACCAGGTAATACAAAAGATGTGCTTACCTCAGTTGAGGCTATATTAAAGGCCTCTGCAATTTTGTTGTATAGCTCCTTGACATTAGTAAAGCCTTCGATCCGACCAGTGGGACTTCCATGGGCTAGCTGGGTGTGGAACACAAGTCGAGGACGGAGGCTGGCCGGTGGAGGGGGGAGTCCAGGCTGAAGTGCTGCCATGCCACCCATGCCACCCATCCCCATCCCACCCAGACTATTGCGGATGGGCTCAGCTTCCTCATTTTCCACCAAAGGGGGGGCCTTCTTCCGGCGGCCTAGTCCAAGCGGCATGAGGGAAATGCGCCCAGTTGCTAGCAAGAATCAGCTACCAAGATACGGACCTAAAGGGAAATAAGACACAGATAAGATTAATTACAGTCAATATTTTTTTTAAAAGTTATTACTTTAGTATATTTAAATTAAATATATCTAATATTTAAATTTATTTATTTAAAGGCTTTTAAACCTTTTAAAATTTAATATGTAAAGCCATCTATCTCACATGCATGACTGGATGGCTTACAGCAATTATAATACCAAAAACAATAAAAAATACAAAGAAAAAAAATACAGCCATGGTAAAACCATTAAAACCAGTACAATAAGCAGCTAAGGTACAAAACATTCTGAGCCTGAGGGAGCGGTAAAATGTGCCATCAGCCTTGTCCTTTTGTGCCCACAAGAGATCTAAGCCCAGCCCACCTTGAATTCTGTTGACTCCAACTTATTTTGAGTGTTAGTAGTTCAGGTTCTTGTAGAGAACATTGTACTGCCTGGACATGTGACTTCCTATGCTTGACATATTCACAGCATTCAATATAACCATCAAACAGGGCCTGCACCACTCTATCTCCAAACACAATATCTTTGTGGCCTTTAAAAAGACCAGTAGGATCAGGCTAATCTAATCTCTGGGGTGTAATGTTTCAAAGATGACAGAAAAGGCTCTCCTCCTGGGCCCCATCAGATGACATTCCTTTATAGACGGGACCCAGTGTATGCCTCTTCTGTCAGATCTAATGGGACAGGTAGATATATCTGGTGAGAAGCGGTTCCACAAATAACCCAGCTCTATGTCATGTATGGCTTTATAGGTCATTACCAGCACTTTGAATTGCACCTGAATTGCAACCAATACAGCTTGCACAACAGAGGTGTAATGTGTGCTAAAGAAGGAGCATACATAATCACTTATGCACCAACTGCAGCTTCCAGTTGCTCTTCAAGGGCAGCTCTTATGTAGGGAGTATTAGAGTAATCCATTCAGGAGTTGACCTAAGCATTACTGATCAACAATAGAAATGGTCCAGGAATGGGCACAATTGGTGCACAACACAAAGTTGCACAAAACTTCTCTTGGCTATGACTTCCACATGCTCCTGGAATGAGTTGTGAGTCCAGGTGGACTCCCAGATTGCGCAAAGTGTCTATCTGGGACTGTGACATCCCTTCAAAACAAGGGATAATAAAGCCCAGGAATCAGATGGTCCTAAATGCCAAAGTCACTTAATCTTGGCTAGGATTGAGCTGGATCATGTTGTTCCATATCCAAACCCACACGTATTCTATACATTAATACAGAAAATTTAATTCAACAGGTGTGGAGATGGATAGCTTGGTATCATCAGCATACTATATTTATTTATATTTATTTTAATATTGTTTCTAGGATACTTTTTGCAAGCTGAGTCAGGGAGGCAGAAGGTTGAACATGAAGAACTTAAAGACTTATATTATTATCAGGTAAGGCCAAATAAATTCACAGGTGATCCATGCAACAGACTTGCATGTCAATTCACAGCAAAATTTTACCAGTCATTGTTCCAGAAGGGAGGACATAATCTACCTGAGAAAAGAACAAATATTTCTTCAATTCTTCTCATCATGATCAATGAAGCTTCTCATCATGATCAATGAAAACTATTCTTGCCAAAAAAATAACATACAACTGGTCGCAGGATTAATTGTTTTCTATGATATATAGAAATTATGAATTCATCTTGGTGCCCAGTAGACATATGCCCAAACACGTCTTCCCAAAAGGAAACTCAGTGGAGATACTGGCAGGAAGTCAGAAATCACTCCTGCTTCCCACTGCTTTTTTACACACATGTGGTCATTCTATTTCTCTGTGATGAAACAATGTCCCAATGGGGCATGAATTGTGTAGTATTTAGTAAGAGGCAATATAGGTATTTTTGTGCCATAGTACTATGGTAAAGGAATGGTCTGCACATATTTAACATTAAAAATCAATACAAAACTGTACCAGCCAAGGCATAGGAAGATTTCTCTTTACAAGTTACATTCATTACAAATATGAAAGGAGGACTGCATTTCACTTATAGGAAACTGCAATACCATAATTGAAAAACAGAAATGCTTTGAAGGAAGGAACACTGAAGTTGGACAGTAAGTAATAACATTTCCTCATTTATAGAATACAACCAAAATATCCGAGATGAAGACTTTAGAAACATCTCAAAAAACAATGGTCATATCCTTTAGAGAATACAGACTTGGTAGAGAACTTTAATTATAATATATGAATGAAACTCATAGGAAGGAGTTCTCAGAATGATATATAATAGTAGGTCAGAGTATTTATTACCCTACACAGCATCTTCTATGACTGGCAGTAGCCCTCTAGGGTTTGAGGCAAAGAAATCCCACTATTTGCTGAGACTTTTTATTGGCATTTCCTGGAGTTTAATCTGAGATTTATTACATGTAACACATTTTCCTGTGAATTACAGTTCCTTCTTTAGATAATTAATCACAAGATAATTTGCCTGCTTCTTGTAGCTTGGACTGGTTCCCACATGAATGCTGATCACTTAATAATAATGATATCTAGCAATTATTATCATGCAGGAATAAACCAACCTGGGCCTAATGCCATAAAAGCGAACCAATGGCATGCCTGCCACAGGCGTCCCTGTGCTCTGTTTTAGCTTCCAGGTTGGCGTAGGAGGCTTTCCAGGCCCAAAATGGCCACACGAGCCCCCCCTCCATGCCCTGTTTTGGGCCTGGAAAGCCTCCTGCACAAAAGGGGAAGCCAAAAGGGGGGGGGGCAGGGCGCATGCGGTGGGGGGGCCCTAGGGTGCATATGCTAGGGATGTTCACGCATGCACTGGGGACGTGCACATATGTGCTGGTGCATGTATGGGGGGGGCCCTCGCATTGCATTTTGGGGGTTCGGCCACGCCTGTGTGCATTTGCATGCTGCTTTGGACACTCGTACCAAAAAGGTTAACCATCACTGCCATAAAATATGGGAAAGGAAAATCTTTCCCTCATCAATTGTCAAAGGATACATTTGCTTAAGTGAGGGATGTCAAGCCAGTTGTGGGAGTGTCCAAGTTTTTTCACTCTATCTTACTCATACATATATTGTGCAATTCACACCCTATTGTTTTTTCATCTATACCATAAAACAAATGAAATATTTTTCAATAGTTCATTCACACATTCAGTTGCTAGTTACCATGAACAATCAAATACAACCCCCAAAGTGATATACCTGAACTAAGATATTGACTGCATCTTGTTAGATGTAAAATTTATTTTCTACAGCCACCCATCTGAAACCAGTGACTCTGAGAAGAAAATAAGATACTAGATTGAAAGTGGAGACCTATACTTATGCACTAATATCTTTATCTCCTCCTGCACCACAACACAAGATCCTTAGAACAACAATGGAAAAATTCAACAGACTAGCATGCAGAATTACATTTCACTCTTAAGTAGCTGTTTTAATTTTATACTCGCTATATAAGAAGCCATTGCTTGAATCTTAGTTTGGGCTTATATTTAACGTTAGTCTGTGTTCCAAACCGTGTACATTTACATACATATGTAGCCATCACATTTTCCCCTTCCATAGTAATCAATATAATAAGAAAAGCAAAGGAAAGGAAAAGCAATTGAAAGACATGAGATAAAAGAGAAATATAGCTCAATTTGATTCGCACCAAAGTCAATTGCTAATGCCACATAACTTTTTATTGTTGCTTCTATCATGTCCATACATAGATCACCTTTTATTCTTTAAAATTGCCAACACTCCCCCTAGATATAGCACTTCTTTTTTATAGATTTCCTTTGTAACCCAGTGCTATTCAATCTCTGTATGACTACTTCAAAGGACTTCTTCCTTTTTAGCCATCCATTTTTGTATTCAGTCCACATTCATTCTTTCATCCCTCATTCATTCTTGACCCCGTCTCTTCTAAATTTACACACATTCTGCCCAACATTCAGTTTGGTAATGCTGTATATTTCTTCTGAATACCCAACTTTCACTTCTACACAGTAAAGTGATCAAGAGCACATTCCCAGAGACAGACACTTTTCTTCCCTGACAAGCATTCATTCCTCACAACGGATCACATACTTCCACGATCTTTCTGCCAGTATTTGCATGTCTTACACAGGGGGCATGCAAATTAATCTACGTATTTGTTTTAGTTTTACCATTTATGTATAACTTGCATTTATTCACTCAGTCTTCCTTTGAGACACGATTACCTTGATTTTGATATATTGATTTTCAGGTGTATATTTCTAGTCCTCATTGGAATTTACAAGATGACAGTTGCTGCAAGTAACTTGAGTTCTCAGCCAAAACTTTTCTTCTGCATACAAAAGTACATGCTTATTCACAGCCTCGACCAGCACCCCTCTAATATCATCATAAACTTTCCTTAAAGGCTTATCCATGAATGCAGTAAATAGTCAAGGAGTCTTCACATAGCTCTGTTTTACCCTCTGTAAAACTTTTCTTAAGACTTTTAGAGCATTCATTTTAATTTCATTCTTTGTTATATCACTATCATTCCCATAATACAAATTTCTAAAACATGTTTTCCAGCATTCCCTGATTTCAGGGGATTCCTTTAATGACTGCTTTACAAAAATTCCTAAGGAATAATTGAGGACTCCAGAATTCTTCCCTTTAGTTGAGAAAAGACCAACTAAAAAACCCCCACACAGACAGCTCGTAAGTAAATACCACCAGATATAATAAACCAATGTTTAAACCAATGTTAGAGACAGTCAAAGTTTTGTGTTGGCAGTTGTAAATAGAAAACAAATTATATGTTAGTCTACTGTAGAATCAAAGTCAACCATAATAGAGGCAAACCGCATCTTTGTTCCAAATATATGACTCCTTCCTTAAAAGGTGGTTACTGTTGTTGAGAAATTACCAAGAACCAGCACAGCTGCAAGCTTTGTGCCCTCCAATAGTGAGAATTGCAAGTGCCACAGTAGGCTCCATTCTAGAGAAAAGCTTCCAATCTCTCTATTCTCGAATCAGGGTGGAGAACACCTTTGCAAGTTGATTCAAAGCAGAGAAACTGGCTTCAGGGAGTTCCTTAGAGGGTGGGACGGCAAGGAAACATAGCCAAACTATGCTCCACATAAAGAACTTGGCCAAGTTACAAGGCAAAGCACTGCACAGTCTAAGCACTGCCTTTTTACCCAAAAATAACATCACCATTATCCAACAAAATTTGGTCTCATTTCATATTGCATGTTCCACTATTCCATAACACATCCAACCATTTTCAGGTCCTAGATATAATTATAGTATTTTGTATTTATTGTCTCCTTGGCTGCTTTCTTAAACTCACGCACACAAACCAAATTCTTATCTTAAGCCGATTTTATCCAAGATCCTCTCCCCAAATTTAGATCTTTGCTTCCATTTCTAAAAATTGTTCATAACAACATCCATCCTCTGAAATGAATCCAACAGAACCATAGGAATTTATGCATTTTTCAATTAATTCTAAATACTTTTTTCTTGTCATGTTTCCAAAATGCTGAATTAATTGGTGTAGACAGCAGACATAGAGTGTTGACATATCCCCCCATAATGCAGACATTAATGCTTCCAGCCTTCAACTTCTGTACAGTAGTCCTGAATTTCAAGATTTGGGCTGCCTGAAGCAGATGTAATTTTGGGAAATCAAAGAAATCAAGAACTCTTTCATGAATTTCTTGTAAAGCTGTTCATTCAGACTTGTTGACATTCCATACTGAAGAAATTTGTCTGTAATGAATTAGGATAAGCACTCAAATTCTAAGTTCTGAATAAATTAAAGCCTCAAATAGATCCATCTGGCAAATACTCTGTGGTGAAATAGGAATTACCTTACCTATATTAACAACTGAAAGGATGTTTGCCAAGACCCTGTTTAAAATCTGTAGTAGAGATGGCTGTGAGATCACTAGATAACATCTAACTTCACTTTTTTAACAGCTAATGCATATTCTAGATATTAAGTAAAAATGATATTTTCTTCTCTTAAAAACACTCTCCTTCAATATGCATTTTCTCAATTCAATTTGATGTTAAAACATTCATTCTGCTGCCATCTCCATCTATTAGTCATAGATGGTTTTGGTTTTTGTCTATCCCCAGCATTCTATTCCTTCATGCTTATCTACATGGAGATGTCTCACTAAATTCAAGAGCCTGTCCTTCTAGGTCAGTGGTTCTCAACCTGTGGGTCGGGACCCCTTTGGGGGTCGAATGACCCTTTCACAGGGGTCACCTAAGACCATCGGAAAACACATATTTTCAATGGTTTTAGGAATAATTTTATGGTTGGGGGTCACCACAACATGAGGAACTGTATTAAAGGGTCACAGCATTAGGAAGGTTGAGAACCACTGTTCTAGGTTAAGAGTGCCTTTTAAGTTCTTGAACATATATTCCCTTGAAATATGTTATTTTATTATGCTTATTTAAAAAAACTTGGTAACTTTGCCAGCTGTTGTGAATGACCAATATTACTACTAACATTTAGATTTTATAAACAAGGTGACTCCTTTAGGACTTAATATTTTAATTAATCCTCAAGGAATAAAGAGAAATAATAGAGCTTAATAAAACTGCATCAATATAAATGCATATTTATATTAATATGCACATTAATAAACACAAAATAGAGAAACTACAATTTCTTATTACTATGCAGGAATCATAAATATGCAATAATATTAAGAGTAAAATATTATTATAAAAATTAATTTCTATGTATTAAGAACAAAATCAAAGAATACTAATATTTTGAACTATTTAGGCAGAATATTTAAGGAAATGCAAAAAATCTTTTTTCTTTATTATATTCAGTCTCTTCTATAATTACCATTCAATTCCTTATCAGCAGAGCTGCAGCCTAGTTAGCCTTGTTATTCTCTCTAATGCGATAAGAACATTATGGCTGTGACTTTATCCTACCTAGGTCATTAAAACATATGTGAGCAAAGGTCTTAGCTACGCTAACATATTATGATGCAAAGTAGGAAAGAAACCTTTCAGGATTTCAACTATTTTTATTTTACTTAAAAACAAATATTAAAAATGATGGCTAAATCTCAACTGAGCTCATGCTAAACTGTTGCTCCATGAATTATCAGAAAAAAAGATAACAAACAATATCCCTTGCTCGAGTAGCTATACTTTTTTGACTTGGGGACTAATGGTGAATGACCTCCTCATGACAAGCAAATAGACATTGCATGGGAAAATAGAGAAAAGATGGGCTATCTTGTACACATTTGCATAGCCCAGAGAGCTCATTAGGAGTATTATAGTTATAATATATGCTATAAAATAATATATAGCATATAATATATGCTATAAAAAGACTCACATTTACTAGAATGTTATTAATATCATACAGATACATCTTTGATAAATATTCTGCTGTCTTCAAAGTCTTGAAAATTTCAAAGAATTTGGAATGATGACAAATAGAAAAGAACATTAAAGATATAGTTAAAAACTGATGACAGGAGAAGGCAAGGAAAAAAAAAAGAAGCGCTTGGCAGAATGCTGCCAAGGTTACCCCATAACTACTGGAAGTCTTATCAAATCTTTATTGGAAATCTTTCAGAAATAATTTTAGATATTTGCATGATTTTCTGGCAAACAGATAATGAACTTGGTATTTAAAAGCTAAGTGATTGTTCAAGATGTAGGAGGCCAATCCTTTTATATTCAATTGTTAGTTTCCATTTATTCATGTATTTATTTACTTACTAAGACTTACATCCTGCTCCAGTCAGAAAGGATTCTGAGACACCGACATATCCCTCTACAGTCTACAGGCAGAGTTTAAAAACATGAAATCACAAGAATCAATCACCAAGAATCCGCAGCTAATGTGTAGTTTTGGCTGCAGGCTGGATCTGACCACCATTGGGTTGATGCTGGCCAAATGATACCTATGGAAATCTGAAGTCACAAATATGTGGCTATTACCTTACCTAAATAAATGTTAACTCGCCTTAGCATACATCTGAACTGAAATGTAAAATAAAAGCATGGACTACTTATGAATGGCTACTAGGCTATATGCATTATTCAAGTTCCTGAAACAGCATAATTATAAGAGGGAATCCTTGTTATGATCAGCAAGTCACTTTACAAATCCAATCAGAATTCAGTGAAAGAAGGATAACCCATAAATAAGAGAAATGGAAATTTTCAACGGTTTGGAAAGCTGTGCAGAACACACCGAGAAAAATTAACCTGTGTTAATCATACAACGTTTGGTTTTCTGTTCACAGTTTCTTAGGAAAGACAGGAAAGTCGGTTTCCTCTGCTAGTCAGCGTTTGGGTGTAGCTACCAAGTTACCTCTATACTTACACCACAATTAAAGGAAAACGAAGGTCAATCACAAAGCTAATCCTCCCATCAATGAGAACAGAGAGGTTGTTTGCCAGTACATTCTTCTACCCCACACGCATGACGAACAGCAAAAGCTGAACAGACCCATTCCCTACATTTAAAGCAGCCACTAATTAAGATTCCAACCCCCCCCCCCTTGATTTAACTTGATCCACTGCCTGTAATCCGAGGGCCATAACATCTGCTCAGAATTTACACCACGGGCGCTCACTTTATTTGATCCATATCCATGACTTCCTCCCATTCCCCCCCCCCCACTTAAAAGTGTGAGAAAAAGAAACTTAAAAGTGTAGAAAAACGACACAATCTACAACTTCCATTCAGCGGATCTCTCGATTCCTGGTTCTCTCGCCTCAACTGACTGTTTGTCCCGACAAGATTTGCTCGCGGGCAAATTGCACCTCATCGGATTGTGTATCCAAGCATCCCCGGTTTTCGACATGTGCAAACACGCAGGAAGCTTGCTGCGGGCGGGCGGGGGGGGGAGTGTTGTAGGGAGGTTAGGGAAAGAGCAAAAGATGCTCGGACGCCCGGTTCCTTCTCCCGGCTTTTGGCCCCACCAAAGCCTCCTTTCGTGCCTTGAAGCCCCTCCCGCTCTCGAAGTTCTCCGTGAAACCATCACCCTTCCCCTTTTCCTTACCCCCCGTCCGTTTCTTCTCCGGGCCCGTCCCTCAGCCGAACTACAGCCCAACACCGCCTGCCTGTCCCTCAAGAGAGGGCGGGATCTAAAACTAACGCCTCCCAACCAATTGAGGAGCGCATCGCTTTTTTCCTGGCTAATCAACGAGCTTGCTCTCTTTGAGCCGGAACATTCCTGGGCTTTCCTGGCAACTTCCCTCCTCCAGCTTCTTCCCCCACCCACTTCGTCAAGGTGCTGTGAATGGAACGGATTAAGGCGTGGAACGGAGAGCGGGATGTACCACCTTGGGAAAGGGGACGACGGAAAGTACTATCTGGGAAACCCATAGGGGGTAATGTCTCGCCCTAGGAAACATCATCACGACGTCCAGTTTGCGTTTGTGCTTGCGTAGCTTTCCTCTGGCCAATTCGGGTGGCTACAGCCACACACAGCACTAATGACAAAGCAGAAGGGCGAGCCGGGGAAAATCAGGTAGCCAAGGGAGGATGCCTTGTCGGTACCTGGTCCTTATCGGAAGAGGGCTGTGGAGGAACAGGAAAGCGGCGCAGATGCAGCAATTTCATTTCACTTTCTGTAGGAGCCAGTTTTGGCCCGTGAAAGCTGGTGCTTTTAGGATCTCTCATGACGCAGAACATAACATAGGAAACAGCAGGCATTTCCCTCTTCTATTTTTATTAAAAATTTAATACATAGGCCACCCCATCTGTTAGATTGTGGACAGTTTACAAAATAACGAGAAAAATAATATAAAAACACAACACACACACACACACACACACACACACACACACACATATTGGTTCGATTTATATGCCACCCTTTTCCGGAGACTCAGGGTGGCTTACAATGCTTTTAAGCAATAGCCTTCATACTTTTGTATATACCTGCTTAGTAGGGTTTTTGCCCCCCCAAGCGGTGTTCTTTTTTATACAAAGTCAGCTTATTGCCCCCACAAACCGGGTCCTCATTTTACCTACCTCGAAAGGATGGAAGGCTGAGTCAACCTATATATATATATATATATATATGCCCACAGGGGATGTCTTATTTTGGGGAAAACAGGTTATATATATAAGGGTTCATCGCCCAGTTTAACTCAAGGTCTGAGGATAACCAAATATTGATAACCAAAGCTTTCCGCATCTATAAGGAGTTGGCCTTGAGCAGGGTTCTTATTACTGGGCAACTTTATTGAATTGAAGAGTGGAATAAAAATGCTTTAAATTAAGAAATACATACGTGTAATGGACAGAAAGAATAACATTGAGGAACAGGAGAAAGCTGCAACCAAGACAACAATCAGATATAAGAAATCTGAGTCCTGGGCAGGAATGTACTGTACTGTAATTTGAGAAAGCATCTGGGAGATGTCTCTCCCAAGTTCATATGAAGATATTGAAGGGAGTGGGGGCTGGGGAGGAGGAAAGTATATTCAGAGGAGGAAAGTATGTTCTAATCTTTTAAAACAAAATTAGTACTACTCTGATCTACCTTGTAGAATGGACATATGTCAAGGTCCCAATTGGTACTAGATTTTGTGGGGCAAATTAAAAACCAGTGAAATCAATATACCTTTAAACCTGTATAGGTGTAGAAGGGATAGCAGAACCAGAGGGTGGAGCGAAAAGGGGGATCAGTCTAGAATTACTACATAGCCACAAGAAAACTAAGTCTAACTCCCCTTGAGTGCCATTGACCTTTAGCTAACTCTACGCAGGGGTCCAGGATGAGTTAGAAGATTCCTATGCATAGGCTTTTAGAAATAGATTAGAGATTAGGATGGACTTGCAAGCATAGAAACATTGTCCTGGAAATAGGTTCCTTAACAATACATAGTTTCTATGAATACATAGTTTCTATTCTTTTTTCCAAGAATTTCAGGATATACCATGCATCTCTCAGCCTCTTTTTTAAAATTCGTATTTGATAAACCAGGTTAGGTTGAAGAGTGAAATTGATTTGAGAGCAACATTAGTTCATTTGGCTAGCGAGATGGCTTTTCTTCCAACATAACTCCATGAGCTTTGCTCTTATTTTTATTCCATTATGGAGGTACAGATATTTCTTGATTAACAACCATCCGTACAGCAACCCTCAATGTTATGATGGCACTGGATAAATGATACTCCTGGTCCTTCAAGTTGCAGTTGTTGCAGTATCACCACACTCGCGTGATTGCAATTTGGGCACTTGACAACCAGGTTGCGTTTACAGTACTTGCTGCATCCAATGGTCAGGCGATCATCATTTGCAACTTTCTCTGCTGGCATCCCACAAGCAGAGTCAATGGGGAAGCCAGCTGGGAAGATCACAAGTCAGGCCTATAAATTGCTCCTGCTATATTTTCTCCTGAAGAGCTCACTATGGAATATGAGATCACAGTACCCCTGCCCACTCTCTGCCCCACTGAGCTTACACTGCAGCACCCTTTCCCTTGCTGCCCTTGTTTGGTGCTGCAACACCTTCTTTGTCACCTGTCTAGACTTGTGCTGCAGCATCTCCTCTTCCCTTTGTGGTTGTGTTATGGATACTGAAAGAGCTGTTTTCAATTATTGTGGGGCTTCTATATGGAACCCATTCTTCCCATATAATACATCCTGCGCCACATAACCCAAATCATAATAGAGCCACCTCCATTCTTAAATGTTGGCAAGGTAATTTTTATTCAAATATTTTATTTCTTTTTCTCCAAAGGTATCTTGGTGATTGTCACTTACAGTTCAACTTGTTTCCTTGGTGCAAAGGACTTTGATCTAAAATGTTTCAGGTTTATCTTGATTTTATATATATATACTTTAGTTTTCTTGCAATTGTCCCACAAATCGGAAGTGTATAACCAACCATGTGCTGGGAACGTTGGATAACTATTCCTCTTCAGGTAAATTTTTAAATAGGTCATTTCCAGTGATCTCTGGGTTCTGTTTCATAGATCTTACAATTTGCAGGTCTAGCACAAATAAATAAATAAAACAAAATTTAAAATGACTACGGGAAATGTTTGGAAGCTTATTTCAAGCAAAGGAAATACTTCAAAAAAAAAAAAAAAAACCTGGTAGAGAGGATATCCAAATCTTTGCATCTGCAATATTCTGTTTTTGAATCTGTAAACAATGGCATGTCAATAAGTATGCATTAAAATTTGCAGAAATATGTCATGTACAATTTTGTAACATGTAAAGATTATTCCTAGTTTAGTTTACTTTGGGGTCAATTGAAACACACTATTTGATTGAGTGCCTAAATATTCGTATTCAGTTATATGTACAAGAAATCAGTCATTTTTATTTAAAGTGAATTGAATGCAATACTGACATTTCCACACTTAAGGTTTTAGCTTGCTATAAATGGAAAGAATTTTGAAACAGTTTTAAAGTATAATCTAGAATTATAAGCCTACAGAAACAATAGTTGTCTTAAATTCATGAAAATTGGAATATAGCTAATGGGGAAAATATTCATCTAGTCATCTATATTGCTATCACTCTACTTCATGTAGTAGGTTACATTTTGGAATACTCCTTGCCTTTCTACTGTATAGACATATGATTTTATACCAACTTGTAGTCTTGAGCTACTATATATTTAGTGTCTGTTGAAAGTTACAACGGTATTGAAAAAATACTTTATGATCATTTTTCACTTGTGACCTTTGCAGCATCATGATCATGTGATCAAAATTTGGGGCAACTGGCATCTATGACAGTTGCACTGTCTCAGGATCATGTGATCACCCATTTGTAAGCTTCCCAGCAGACTTCTGACATGCAAAGCTAATTGGGAAATCCAAATTCACTTAATGACCTCATGATAGCAATAGCACTTAAGACTTATATATTGCTTCATAGTGCTTTACAGCAGTCTACAGTCAGGGTATTACCCCCAACAATCTGGGTCCTCATTTTACTAGAGAGGCTCTGGAGGCTGGGGACAGCAAAAAGTCACTTCCTGTCCCACCGGGAGTTGGGAAATGGGCCATTTCAGGCCTTTGGAGGGTCTCAGAGGGAGTGGGAAAGGCTGTTTTCGCCCTTTCCAGATAAATAGAGGATCTGGAATCAGGTAAGAAAGAAAAACGGGCCTACCGGGCCATTGCATGCCAGAAGTGTGTGTGTGGGGGGGATTTGCACGCACAGGGCAGGGCGCATAGCATTATCAGTGTGGGCACATGCACAACCCTCCCCCGCCCCCCTCCTGGCACACGATGGCAAAAAGGTTAGCCATCACTGCTATAGGTTAATACTAGGACTTTGAATTGGGCAGGATGTTTTGGCCAGTAACTAATGATAGCCTTAACTACTTCTGAGATTGTTCAGGATGCAGAATAATAAATTGCACATATACTGTACTAGAAATGAGTTGGAGTTAGCCTAACAACTTGTTTGAACCTGTTATTTTGTACAGCTTGGATTTCAGATCTTTAATTCTACTTAAGTCTTTTATCCTTTTTTCATTGGGAATGTTTCCTGTAATGTCAACTCAGATGCAAAGTATTTTTTGTGCATAGCTGTCATGTATGGTCATTGTACATACAGTAAAATCAACAGTGTAATTCAGGTACTTCAGCTTCTGTGTGTACATACCATATGCATTTAACATAAAAACAAGTCTATACACGTAGTTGAAATGTATGTTCTTAACACCACCATTTACAAATATATTTCTTTTTTGACATGCCCAAAATAATTTATGTAGGCTTTTAAATGCTCTGTACAAATTTTTTGTTCATATACTCTTTCCAGTTTATGTAGCATTAATATGCATGTATACAGCCCCACCAATCTAGCCCTCAAAAACTCTGAGCCAGATTTAGCACAAGCTTCAAGTTCTTTGACAATTATACCCTAAATACCAGTTGGTGTAAAATAATAGCTAGAAAATGTCCTTACTGTAGCTCAGTTTCTAGTCTAAACAAAAGCTATTGGGCAAGGTACTATAATGGTCTTTAAAAAATTAACATAGACTTGGTTTATTTTTGAGAGAAGACAACCAGGAAACTATGTCTGTAAGATAGACCAAAAAACAAACAAACAAAAAACAATGTTAGTGGCAAATAATTTCCCTGTTGCTAAGTAACTACATGATCCATGTGGTCACCTGTAGTCAAATTCAAATTGGAGAGTTTAGTATCTCACTGAAGAGTCAGGCATAGCAGAAAAGACTTTTGGGTATAGGATGATACTTTTACAGGATGATATGTATCACTGAAATATTGTACACCCACAAATAAACAGTTGGCATATTTTAGATAAGTTATTATAGATAATTTAGGTTAATCACCACCCTATTTAGCGATTAAAGCTATGATAGTTCTGAAAAAGTAACTTAATGGCTAGTCACACATGACCATTTTAGTGTCTTGTGGTCAGATGATTGCCATTTGCATACTCGGGGTTTTTAAAAATTTGTACTTTATCTACTTTATTTGTATACCTTTATATAATAACTTAATATTTTATATTAAATAACTCAATGCAGCAAGCATATCCCAACGTATCTTCTTCCTATTTTTTCCCCACAGCCACCACCCTGGGAGGGGAGTTGGGCAAAGACCCAGTGACTGGCCAAAGATCATCTTTCATAACTAAGGTGGGACCACAAATCCCCCTTTTGAGAGTGGTGCCTTAACCACTAGACCAAACTGGCTATTGTTATATTATCAACAATAATATTATGGCCCACCCCAAGTTATGAGAAATGTATTTCATCAATTTCCTCCACCCAGTGGAGGAAATTGTTCCACTGTACAAAACTAAATAGTAAGATGTCATGTACACTGGCACTTTACCAATTTGATGAACTCACCAACAACTTGTATGATGAAGTATTGTTGCTGTACATTCTACAGCTGGAAGACCAACATACCTTTGTTCATTAATTTCTCTCAAAGCTAGAATCTGTCATTAAACCAATTAAATATCAAAAAGTTCATGTTATATAAAGCATGTATACCATCTTGGAGACACAAGGTTTTACTTTGATATTGATATCAGATATATGACACTTTGGAATTTATATTTATTAAATCGTTACAAACGAGGGTGTACTTTTAATATTAGAACGTTAGCTGTCTGCAAATGACAATGTTGTCCTTCTCCCAAACCAGTCAAGTCTTAGATTATGAATAATCTAATTGGGGATATGAAACAATGTATATTTTTTGAAGAATTGGCTAGATTTCTTAACCAGCTCTACTGCTTTTCTGCAATAATCTTACTGAAGGATCAAAGAGCCTGGTATAATTTCTGTTCAAAACACTTGGCAGCAGAAAATCTGCTTTCTTCATTAGATAGCTACAGCCAAATTCTAATTACAGTAAAGATTATTTCTCCTCATTCTTGATTATAAAATCTGAACAAAACAAATGGTGTTTAGTAATTTCCTTAAGAAAATAAGATTTAGCATTACACAATGTCTTTTTCCCATGACAGAAAACAGTGACAATTCATGTGTAGTTTTAAGTATCTGCTATTTTGTCAATTTGCAGCAATCATCAGATTTAATTTACCAAATTTTTAATAATCATAGGAGCAAAACAAATATTTTAAGTATATATATCAATAAGCAAGACTCCAAAGTCTTTTTATTAAAATTTTCAACTGTAAATTTGACAGACTTGATACATTCAATTCTTTTAGACCAAGTCCCCTAGCAGGACATATAAATATGTCTGTATAGAAAAACATTATCTGGCAAGTCTGTAAATCAGATGGTTTCCTGTAATTTTTTTGCATGCGTTCAAGAGCTACCCGGTATTAGAAAAAGCCCTATTCCATTCAACTTTCTGAAAGAGGCAAATTATTTTTATGGCTATATGAACAACTTTCCAGTATGTCAGCATTTGGTACTATTTAAGGAGTACCATAGAAATATCAAGGAAACTGGAAATCTGAATATTTACTAAAAATAGCCTATCCTCCTTCAGGAAATAATGTAAAAGACAAAGACAACACAATACAACATAGACAAGAGATTGGAGATGTTTACTTCTGAAGTCCAGTTTAGATTTTAGTGTCATTTTTTTTTTCCTAATGAGAATCTGTATGGGCATGGCCTGACTAGGGCTTCTCAAATAGATGCAGAATCATGTCTGGTTGCCATACTCTGATTCAAATTTTTGAGATGTTTTCCTGTTTCTTTCAGCAAATGCTCCTGGTTATAAATGCTATGAGCAAAGGCAATCTGGGTCTAAAGTCATTTAGCAGTGTAATATTTTTTTCAATCGATTCTTTGAAACTTTTTGTAGCATAAAGTTACTCTCACGTCCACTGCCAAAACAGACCCTGAAATCTTGATTCCCGTCTGTAATCCTCCATAATAGAGGTAGTGCAGTCCAGTTGATGCCAGTCTTATTATATTGGCAAGATCTGTTCTAGGACGCTTTTGGAAGACTGTGGAATTCTGTCTGGGAATCTTACATCAAATTCAATAATAAGATCTCCTCGCTGATTTAGATTCTTGGGAAATGGAAGGCCTTCTCCGGGAATTCTTCGCTTCATGCCAGGTTTAATGACATCTTTGAATATCATTGGTATGGTTCTACCATCTAATGTTGGTGTATTCACAGTGCAGCCACACAAAGCCTGTATATAAAAATAAACCACATAAATCAGTATGTTTTTTACAAATGAGAAAAACTAGGGAACATTTCATTTTCATTCATTTGACAATGACTTTAAACTTCAATTAGATTTCATGATAAGAGAAAACGCCAAAAAACTGAATGCCACATATATACCAATATACTTCAATGTTCCTGTTCAAACTACTACAACAACATGAAGCATGCTTCCTGCATGTGTTCCATAATGCTATCAGTGTCTTGAGAGTATATACTCTTAGGGAATATTTAAATTTGCAATAAGTCTATTCTTAGTTAAATATGGATTATCCAAATTAAACTTTAATCTATTTCAAAATGCAGTAATTCAGACATTTTACAACCTAGTCCATCTTTCAAATGACAAAATCTAGCTTTTTAACTTACCTCACGGAGGCTGATCTTAGCTGGGTATACAATATCAGACCCATCTCTCTTAAAAGTGTTGTGTGGCTTGTCCTTTAGAACAAAAACTATATCAGCTGGAATGTTGGTTGGTGTTTGGTCCCCTTCTTTGGGAAATGTGATCTTAGTTCCTTCTTTCCACCCTCGTTTTACTTCTATTGTTAAAATCTTATCCTCATTGCGTGTGCTTTTCCCATCTGGATTGAGACGCTTGTGTGAAATTTTCATTTTCTTCGTGCAACCTGTGTAAATTTCCTCCAATGACACCCTCAACTCATGGATGATTGGAGGATCTTGTTTCTTGCGGATGTTTTCATGTCCTCCACGACTGCGAGTAAAACCAATATTGCCAAGGTTTTGAAAAGTTGAAAAAGGATCATCAACATCCATGTCCTCATCTCCATTCCTCTGAACAAAAAAGGTATCAAAAGGATTCCGTCCACCGAAGAACTCTGTAAACATGGCATGAGGATCTCCATGGAAGGTGTAAGTGAAAGAAGTACCATTAGGACCTCCTCCACTACAACTGGGACCACCACCTTTTAATCCTGAAATAGAGAAAACATAAAAATGCATTTCATCCAATAAAACTTACGTTCAATGTCTCATGTTACAGTGTCTCTTTTTAGTAGTATTATTTTGAGAATGTCAAATAGGGCTAATCTTAGAAATGCCTCCAATTCTCACCTCCATTTTTCTCTCACAATTCCCTTTTTCACCATGTTCATGATTCAACTGTATAAAATCAGCAAAACACCCTTTTCAGTGTTTCAGTCTATGATACTCTCCTGAACTGAATGTTATTATAGCTACAACACAAATTATCATTCATTTCTACCTAAAGTGGATAAAGCAATAGGTATCTTGCTAGAATATTCTAGCTACTACTAGAAGACTTTGCAGGAAAGGCTCCACCTATCTTAGGCAGCTTGTCATGCAACCCAAATATATGCAGTGAATACATATTTTACCAATTCTTCAGAGGAAAATTGCTGAGCATTTACTATGAATATAAGCAAGCAAGACAATGGAAGCCAGTACTGAAAAGCTATCCCAAATCTGTACAAATTGTATAGTAAATTGTATATAGTCTGTTTTAAATGCTGCATTTTATAAATGGAATGATGTTCTTTAAAACATACATGCTACAAGGTAGTAAGTTGACAGAATGTATATACTCAGCAATCTTTTTTAGTGTACATAAAATCATTAGAAACAGGAGAAATTCTGCATTTTAATACATCATTTTGTAGTTTCGTATAGGAAGCATTTCTACCTGGCTCAAAGTAGCTTCCTACTAGACAGGAAGAACCTGTAAAGTAATGGTGGATTTTTGAGGAGTGACCTTAATACAATCAGAACAATTCAAAGATGGCAACTCATCTGGCCAGTTTCCAGAATGGAGAGTAAAAAAACTTGTTCTCTACTATTTTGCCCTCCCCTGGGAAATTAGTCCGATCACGGTCGTTTTCCACAGCCTCTGGGAAAAAGAAGTCTTTATTAATGGGACCTCTAAAAGCTAGATCTGACAATTATAATAGTAGCAAACTGGAAAGTTAGCAGCTATCTTTTCAGGGTGGGGGCAAGATTATTAGCAAACAAGGAAAACAGGAGATCATTCTTTGGCTTAAGCAAATTTTAAAGATAAAAATATTTCAAAGCTGATTTTTTTTTTTATTCAAGTCCCCTGCCCGAGTACAGTCGTTTCACTTTGAAGTTTCACTTTCTAATTTCATTCGCTTCCATGATAAAAAATATTCAACGGGGGCGATTTAGTTCTGCTTCCCTGACCAGCTAATTTGTTGTTTTTTTCCTCTTGGGTCCTGCGATTTACGCTGCGAGCCAGGTCATTTCAATTTTCCTCTTAAGAGAACCCAGCAAAGACAGCAGCACGCTAAGGCAGTTTCGCTAGTTTAAAGAGAGTCCGATTCTTAACAAATTAGAGCCCCCCTTCTCGTAAACTCGGATAAGCGACAACGTGTTCTAGACATCTCCACCATGCATCGCAGACTCGAATTCCCCTCCGCCCGTTCACACGACTTCCCTCCCCCCACTTCGGCCTGTCTCTGTCTCGGCACGCACCTTCCTCGCCGAACTTGTCGAAAATATCGCGCTTTTTCGGGTCGCTCAATACATCGTACGCCTCAGCGATTTCTTTGAAGCGCTCTTCAGCTCCAGGGTCCTTATTCTTGTCGGGATGGTAGCGCAGCGCCTGCTTACGATACGCCTTCTTAATGTCATCGTCGCTAGCCCCGCGGGCCAGGCCCAGGATACGATAATAATCTTTCCCCATCGCCCTTCGCAATTCCCTCAGTAGCCGGCCACCTACCCCGTTCGCTCGCTCGCCTCCCCAAGCTGTAATTTAGAAGGAGGCGCTTCCCCTTTCCAAGTTTATATGGCGGGCGGAGGAATCTTCCAGAGCTTGCCACAACATTCTCTCCCGAAAGCCCGCCTCTCCATCCTTTGTCCAATTGCAGCCGAAACCTTTCGAACGCTGCGCCAATGAAGACGCGGCGTGCGTCACACATGGGGGAAGTAACGGTTGCCGAGAATCCGCCTTCTACCTTAAGAGCGAAGGAGATAAGCAATTGCGCTTCTGTCAACGGTTGTTTTCCTTCCGAATTCTAGAGGCTGGCGGCTGGTCTCAGGGCGGGGGCGAATCGGGTGACGTCACGGGAGGCTCGCGCTAGACCTCCTCTATTAAAACCTTTCCAGAAAACGTCGAATCCCCCCTCCGGTCATTGCCATTCAATTAATCAACTCCACCCAGAAACTGAGGTTTTCTTAAATCTCAAGTCAGCCAAGATTCAGAGAACCTTGTAACGCCGCAGTTTCACTTATGTTATGCCAGTTTCTCCACAGTCTGGTGCCCTATGAATGGATTTTCGTTAGATGGGGAATTGGGGAAGTTGGAAATCAAACACATCGGGAGGGCAGCAACTGGGGAAAGCAGGCGCTCCACTGGGTGGTTATGACAATGGTACAAAATACAGGAGAATATTTTGAAATAGTGTTATAATAAATGTCATTTATGGCTAACTGTCACTAATGATAAGGGTGACCCAAGCCTGTAAAGTAATAGCTGTAGTGGCATTTAACAACATGGACATTCACCCCTAGGCTATCTGCAGATTTACATAATCCAGCCAGCTAGCAACTAAAATTGAATTCAAATTATAATCTTGAAAGCCAATAACAAAGTTATTTGTTACCTGAAGCACAGAAGCAAATCCCTAATGCCCACAAAATATCTATCACTGCAATCAAATTATTTTGAAATTTAAGGCAGCCTGAAAAGCATTTAAAAGTACCTCCTTGGCAATCATAAATGCATTTGCTTCCCTTTTAATATCCCAAAGCAAGTTGCCAGAAACAAGCTTCTCAATAAAAAAGCTGCTTTTTTTTTTTTACCTTCAAGTTAGTGTTGACTCCTGGAGACTGCTTGGACAAGTCACTGCAGCTTTCTTGGCAAGATTTTGGAAGTTATTTGCCATTACCTGATTTCTGCTTGCCTCATATTCTGCTTCTGTTAAAACCTCTGAAATCATATCTGGATCAGAGACAAATAGAAAATTAAAAACAATATTAACAGAATAACTGTATCAAGGCAACATTTTCTTTGTAATATTAATTTGAATAGGTGCCCAATATTCAAGTTGTGATTGCAGGTGAACCCAAAATCTAAAACCAACAGAACAATTTTACAGTATGTCACAGAAGTCAGTACACCCTCTCACATTTTGTAAATATTTAAGTATATCTTTTCATGTGACAACACTGAAGAAATGACACTTGGCTACAATGGAAAGTAGTGGGTATGCAGCTTGTGTAACAGTGTAAATGTGCTGTCCCCTCAAAATAGCACAACACACAGCCATTAATGTCTAAACTGCTGGCAACAAAAGTGCGTACACCCCTAAGTGATAATATCCAAATGGGACCCAAAGTGTCAATATTTTGTGTGGCCACCATTATTTTCCAGCACTGCCTTAACCCTCTTGGGCATAGAGTTCAACAGAGCTTCACAGGTTGCCACTGGAGTCCTCTTCTACGCCTCCATGATGATGTTATGGAGCTGGTGGATATTAAGAGACCTTGCGCACCTCCATCTTCCATTTCAGGATGCCCCACAGGTGCTCAATAGGGTTTAGGTCTGGAGACATGCCTGGGCAGTCCATCATCTTTACCCTCCGCTTCTTTAGCAAGGCAGTGGTCGTTTTGGAGGTGTTTTTGGGGTTGTTATCATGTTGGAATACTGCTCTGCGGCCCAGTCTCTGAAGGGAGGGGATCATGCTCTGCTTCAGTATGTCACAGTATATGTTGGCATTCACGGTTCCCTCAATGAACGGTAGTTCCCCAGTGCCGGCACCACTCATGCAGCCCCAGACCATGACAGTCCCACCATCATGCTTGACTGTAGGCAAGACACACTTGTCTTTGTACTCCTCGCCTGTGGTTGCTGCTACATACGCTTGACACCATCTGAACCAAAATAAGTTTATCTTGGTCTCATCGGACCACAGGACGTGGTTCCAGGAATCCATGTCCTAAGTCTGCTTGTCTGCAGCAAACCATTTGCGGGCTTTCTTGTGCATCATCTTTAGAAGAGGCTTCCTTCTGGGACAACAGCCCTGCAGACCAATTTGATGCAGCATGCGGTGTATGGTCTGAGCACTGACAGGCTGAGCCCCCACCCCTTCAATCTCTGCAGCAATGCTTGCAGCACTCATACGTCTTATTTCCCAAAGCCAACCTCTGGATATGACGCTGAGCACGGGCACTCAACTTCTTTGGTTGACCATGGCGAGACCTGTTCTGAGTGGAATCTGTCCTGTTAAACCACTGTATGGTCTTGGCCACTGTGCTGCAGCTCAGTTTCAGGGTCTTGGCAACCTTCTTATAGCCCTAGGCCATCTTTATGGGGAGCAACAATTCGTTTTTTCAGATCCTCATTGCCATGAGATGCCATGTTGAACTGCCAGTGACCAGTATGAGAGAGTCAGATCTATAACACCAAATTTAACACACCTGCTCCCCCTTCACACCTGAGATCTTGTAACACTAACGCTTCACATGACACCAGGGAGGGAAAACAGCTACTTGGGCTCCATTTGGACATTATCACTTAGGGGTGTACTCACTTTTGTTGCCAGCAGTTTAGACATCAATGGCTGTGTGTTGCGTTATTTTGAGGGGACAGCACATTTACACTGTTATACAAGCTGTATACTCACTACTTTCCATTGTAGCCAAGTGTCATTTCTTCAGTGTTCTCACATGAAAAGATATACTTAAATATTTACAAAATGTGAGAGAGTGTACTCACTTCTGTGACATACTGTAATATCAAGTTCACCTAACCTATAGGTCATTCCCAGGGGACATTCAGTTGTTGAAGGATTTGCAAAATGCTGGGAGGGTCAGGGCCAAAAAGCCTCCAAGTTGCATGAACTTCCAAAGGGCAAACACTTTCTGGGTCTCCACAGTACTGCTTAATAAATGGGCCTACCTTGGCTGAACTAGTATACCAGGCAGAAACAATTGGAGAAAGGGGTCCCACATCTGGGGTGGGTTCTACTTACCTTTACTACTGGTTCGCAACGGGGCCGCGTGCGTGCGCTTGCTTTGCTTGCGCATGCACAGAATGCGTTCTGATGATATTGGGGTCGGTGGGCGGAGCCTCCCGCCAATTTTACTACCAGTTCTATAGAGCCGGTGTGAACCCGGGGCAACCCACCACTGTCCCACATATACCGTAAGTCCCCATGAAAGCCTTTATATAATGTGGTAATTAACACCCTGAATTATACCTGGAAGCTTATTAGGTTCTATATAACCAAATTAATAAAGTTTGGCAAAATATTATGAATAGCTTCCAAGTGTTTATTATATGCTGCAATGCAATAAAAAACATTTACACAATGAGAGTTTAATAAATAATTGCAGGTGAGTGGAAAAATAGCAGCAATTATTTCCATTCCCTTCTAAGTGTAGTAGAATAAGTCCTTTAAGCCAAATTTCTGGATAAGAAACATAAGGCAAGTATTTATCTGAGATAACCTGTCTACAGGGAACCTGTCTTATATGGATTAAGTAATTCCTTAAATGTCAATAGTGCAAAATCTATAAAACCAGTGTAATGATTTTTTGGGAACAATGTATGATGTACTATCTTGCGATATTTATGAACCTGTCAAATATCCATACTCAGTGGCATCCACAAATGTTGATTTTGTGCCATGGAAAACACTTACATTTCTAGCAATATAAATGGATCTAGAAGCAATCCCAAAGTTAAACTGAAAGTATGTTGAATGCTATCATTTCCACAGGTAATCTGTTCAATAATAGCACTTCCAACTTGTTTGGTTCCAGTTTCACTTTGTTGTCTGTCATCACATCTCTTAATACAGTCAAGGGCCGATCAAGCCACTGTGTTGTACTGTTAAGGTACTGGAGTAGCATTGCAGAATTCCAAATTTTAATTCTGAATTAACTTTAATTCACACTCCACAAGGTGATTGGTTTTTAGCCTTGTCACTCACAGCCCAACCTATCTATTTGTGAGATAGGTTACTATAGTTGCCAGCATAAAGAAAAATAGCTATGTGTCATCAGAATGCTCAATCTTCAGATGATATTATCCAGTCTTTTAATATAGATTTAACTTTAAGAATAAAACTTGCAGACCTCACAAAACAAACATTAAGCATATATTATAGGTTATACACCAACCTAAGGCTGATCCAAGGGAACTGCTTTCAGACCCTTTCATAAATGATTCCCAGATTCAATTAAAGTCATTATTAACTTGTATTTTTACATTATTTTTTGACATTGATCCAAATCTGTACTCTAATACAGATAATCCTTGACTTACAACTGTGATTGAGACTGGAATTATGGTTATTAAGTTATGCTTAACGCCTTGTAAACTGTCCTGAGTCTCCGGAGAAGGGCGGCATATAAATCAAAATCAAAATCTAAATAAATAAATAAATAAATAAATGCTGATCGATAAAGGGTCATCATGTAACCGCCCCTGATTTTACAACTTTTTGCGGCAGTCATTAAACAAATGCTTAATGTAGTCATAAAGTCAACATGGTGGTCCTTAAGCAAATGCTGCGGTTGTTCAGCAAACTCATTGTTTGCAATGGGTGTTTTTTGCCAGGAACTGGAAGTAAATGTTGTAAATTGTGGTCAAATCTGAGGGTCTGGTCAGCACCCAAAATACAATAATTTGACTGCTGGAGGGGAGAGGGGCAACCACGAGAACTTCGAATCTGGGTTGTACTTTTTAATTGTAACTCCAAACAGTTGCTAAGTGATGGGTTATATGTCAAGGACTACCTGTAGCTGAGTCTATCATTGTTCTAAAGATGGAATTATATAGTTTCCAGCAGGAAGAATAAAGATATACAGTTTCCTAGGAGCTGTTATCATATATAGAGCCAACTCCATAGTACTTTGGGGGAAAATAAGAATTAATACCCAGTGCTGAATTTATCCTACCAGGCAGCAATTTAATTTGAACAAATCAATATACACGGCCATATGAAATATTTTAAAGTATAAAAATCTAGACTCCCATGTATGTTTTCTAATACGGCATTATAAAAAAAAAAATTGTATTGTCCATGAAAAAAAATCATTGATCCCAATTGCTTTTCTTTGCTCCTCTCTTTCTTAACTTCAGTGTTTCCAAGAACAGCTGCTGATCAAAAATAGACAAAAAATTCTTCTGCATGTCTTGCATATCTCAAGAATAGATTAAAGCAGCTGATGGTATGTATTAATGTAGTCCTAAACATGTAGTTGTCTTGCTTTCTTCCTGCCCCAGTGAAAGATAGAATGAGAAACTGTAAACC